CCACCCCCCCCCCCACCAATCTAAAAAAAAAATAAAAAAAATAAAATAAAAAAAAATCGGGCCTATTAACTCAGTTGTTTTGCACACGTGAACTGTCGAAATACAGACGGGAGGTTCGATTTCTAGATTTTTTTTTTTTCAAGAACGATTTCTAGATGCCTTCATACGAGTAGAGAAAAATAGTTAAAAAAAAAAAAAAACAAATTAATCAATTTGATTCAATTCGTTAAACAGAAAAAATACTAATTATGAATTACCTGGGGCCAAGTCCCACCGGCAGCGTTGAGTTTTCCTCAAAAAGCCTGAATCTGGACGCGTTTGTGGCTATGTGCGGTTGAGGAAAAACTCGAACGCGATTTCCGCACATCTCCATAAACACGTCCAGATTCAGGCGTAGAGGAAACTCAACGCTGTTAGTGGGACTTGGGCCCCGGGGTCCAGTCAGGTCATATGGATGATATCCCAAGAGGCCGTTTGCCCTTCAAAAAAGCAAAACAAAAAAAAAAAAAAAAAAAAAAAAAAAAAAAAAAAAAAAAAAAAAAAAAAAAAAAAAAACAGAGATTCTGAAATTGGGAAAATAAATCCACGTGGTAGGAGATAAAAAAAATCCACGTGGACAGATGAATCCATGCCAGCATTTTTTTTTTTTTTTTTTTTTTTTGGTTTAATGCTACGTCAACAGATAAACCCACGACATTATCGCTCACTGTTTTGGTGCAATTTGTAAGTTGCCTTGGGCACTCAGTGGGCCCTGATAATAAAAGGGCAATTTCGAGTAAAAAAATAAAAAAAAGATAAACCCACAACACATATCTCAAGGCCGTTGTTGCCCTTCCCCCCCTCCCCCCCCCCAAAAAAAAAAAGAAAAAAGAAAAAAAGAAAGGAAAATAAATTCTGAAAAAGCGAAAAAAAAAAAAAAAAAAAAGGAAAAGAAAATCCACTTCAGGAGTCGTCAGCAGGTGAACTCACAGCACATGCAAATTATTTGCAAGGGGGTTGGGCTGCGCTGCTACCGTCTTCCCCCGAACACAACGCACCCTCATTTTGGCTGTATCTGGCCGGAAATATAGCTTGTATACATTCATTTTTGGGGTGCGTTATGTTCGGGGAAGACGGTACCACTCGCCGAAAAAACGCCAACGTTTTGAATGTACTTGGTCCAAGTAATGGTTTCGATACATTCATTCAGAATGTTGGCGTTTGGCGACGGGTAGCAGCGAAGCCCTTTATCGGCTGACGTGACACTGATGGCCCCCCGCGCGGCACCTTTCGCCCGCCAACAAAACGACAATATTTTGAATGTACCCAGACCAGCTGTCTGTCCAGATGCATTGGAAAATGATGGTGGCGTTTGGCGCGTGCTGCGGCGAGGCCCTTATTTTAGCCCCCACAAAAGAGCCAATTCTTTTTTTTTTTTTTTTTTTTTTTAATTTTAAAGCCAATTCTATTAATTAAGGGTTCTATCTGATGAGCTCATCTCTGTCTAATGAGCGCCAGTTCAACAACCCTGTTCTCCCCTCCCCCTCCCTCTGTGTAGTTCTCTTGACTGCATCTGACCGGAAAGATAGCCTGTATACATTCATCATTAGGGTGCATTTACCCACGTCTGTGGTGTAATGCCACGTCAGATGCATTTGCCTTCCGCCCCCGAACATAACGCACCCCCATACTCGACTGTATGGGACCATTTAAAAGCTACCGGCTTCACCCGAATAGAACGCCCGGTCATTATAGCTGTGTATTCGGCGCAAATTCCTGTCCAGAATCATTCAGAGATAATGACCGGGCGTTCTATTCGGGTGAAGACGGTAGCTTGTATGCATTCATCATGAGGGTGCGTTATGTTCGGGGGGAGAGAAGATTGGATGTGGACCGGAAAGCTACCGTCGTCACCCGAATAGAACGCCCGGTCATTATAGCTGTGTATCTGGTGCAACTTTCAGTCCACATTCCGACGTCTAGGTGCTATAATGACTGGGCGTTCTATTCGGGTGAAGACGGTAGCTAGCTTCTATGCATTCATCATGAGGGTGCGTTATGTTCGGGGGGAGAGAAGACAAGTAGTCATATATCTGTCTAATCCCACGACAGACGTGTTTATCCATCATCGTCATCTGTAACGAACGCCACGTCAGCCCCTCCTCTCCCTCCCCCACTCTCTGTGTGATGCCACGTCAGCATACGCTTATCGACGTCTGTATACTGCCACGTCAGACCTTTTTTTTTTTTTTTTTTTTNTTTGGGGACGCATTTGTCCACATTCAGGCATTTCTCCTGCCGCTGTAAGCAGGTCCTTCATGCCACGTCAGCACACGTGAATCCACGTATGTGAAATGCCACGTCAGATGGGTTTAGCCACGTGCGTGCAATGCCACGTCAGATGGGTTTAGCCACGTGCGTGCAATGCCACGTCAGACGCGTTTTTTTTTTTTCTTCCCCAAACCAAAACATTTTATTATATTACAAAAATGAAATGAAAAAAAAGAAAAAAGAAAAAAAAAAAGGAAAAAAAAAAGAAATGAGAGGCTGGGAATTTCTCAACGAGCAATCCGGAATGACTGGGACCCTTACCCAACTTCTTCGTCTTTTTTTATAATTATTTTTTTATTTTTATTTTTTTATTTTTATTTTTTATTTTTTAAAAGGCTGTGGGAGATAATCCAGAGACAGAAGTGGCCAACTCCAGACCGCTGTCCTGATTGCCCAGACGCAGACGCATATATCTCTTTCTTTTTTTTTTTCTTTTTTTTTTTTTTAGGAATCACTCCTCTCTCTCTGGATTCCCACGTTTTCCACGTCTGTCTAATCCCACGTCAGACGCATTTATCTCTTTCTTTCTTTTTTTTTAAGGAATTACTTCTCTCTCTTTTTTTTTATTATAAATAATAATCCTATTTCTTTTCGTCGCGTTCCTTGTCGAGGAAGATATAAGAATATAAAAAAACATGAAAAGGAAAGGAATATAAAAATTATGCCCGTCTGTACTGCCACGTCAGTAGACGCGCTGATCGGCTCGTCGTGCAGCGGGATGGCGCGCAGCAGCAGGAGGAGGGGAAACGATTACACTGCTGGGAAAGCCGTCGAGATGGTCTTGGGAGAGGGAGGAGATAGTTTCTCTCCCTCCCTCTCTCTCTCTCTCTCTTTCTCTCTCTCTCTTTCTCTTTCTTTTCTGCACTCCACCCTTTCGATCCTGCCTCTCCTCCCACTGTATCTCTCTCTCTCTCTCTCTCTGTGTCTCTGTCTGTCTCGCTCTCTCTTCTCCCTCCCCCTCCCTGTATGTGCTCTTCTCTCGTTCCGTTTTTTTTCCTTGACTTAAAGAGTAAATGCAGACAGAGCACGGGACAAGAAAACGACCGAGATCGTTGCGTTGAAGAAAGTGAAGATGGAGAAGGAGAAGGAGGGATTTCCTATGACATCGTTGAGGGAGATCAACATCTTGCTGTCCTTCCATCATCCCGCGATTGTCAATGTGAAGGAGGTCGTCGTCGGAAACAACTTGGACAGGTAACGATCGAACGAACGAGGGAACGAGGGAACGGACGAAATGTGTTTGGAAACTTCTTTCCCCCTCTCCCCTTACCTCCTTCTCCCTTATCCCCAAGCCTTCACGGTCCTGCTGCTGTGTCTCGTGTTTCTGCGTGCGTGCGTATGTGTGTGTGCTTGTGTGTGCGTGTGTGTGCGTGTGTGTGTGCACCGGGAGAGAGAGAGAGAGAGAGAGAGATTTGACTGCAAGCTAATATAAGAGGGAAGGGGCGGAGAGATGGAGAGAGAGAGAGAGAGAGAGAGAGAG